CAACAAAAAAGAAATAAATAAAAATGTAAAATGAAAACTTCTTAATCCGACGAAAAAAAATACGTTTACTGAAATGGTTTTCGTTTTTACGTATTACACTGCAGCGGTGGAGGTAAAATTCTGTTGTCTTTGCGGTATCGCCAAAGCGGCAGTAAATTAGACGATTGTAAACATTTATACTTGTCGATGGAAACTAGCAAGGACAACAGACGTGTACATTGCGTCATGAAGATTAGAATAAGGAGACCAAAAACATAGAGTAATAAGGATATAGAGATGACTATAGAATATAGATGACCATATCTTTGAGATATCAGACTGTCGATCCTCGATTCTACGCACAGAAAATAGATTTTATTATTATGACATTCAGAAATTCCGCGTATTACTGTATACATTCAAATATTTTATTTTTTATTTTAAATAAAAATATAAAATAATATAAAGTTAATAGCTGGTCGCCACATTAATAATATATTATGCAGTCAGGTCCGCGAGTTCGGCAATGTTTACTGATGTTATCAATTTAAGTGATAAGTGGTCGTCAATCAACAAAATTATTACTGAATACTGGCTAGTGGCCAACTGACCAACGGAAAGAAGAATAAATAAGCTTAATGCTTAAATAGGTATAGTATAAATACTTTATTACCTCGTTTTAATTCTTTGGTTTTATTGATTTAGTTATTAGATAAATGTATTGTTATGTGCCTGATTTAGTTGTGTAAATTTGTGTTACAGTTGAGCACGGATTGTGCGGAAGCAGTTTTAATTGGTAAAAAAAATGTAACGTAGGTAGGTACCGACTTCTGTCGTTTATTTATTAAATTTTAGGATTTGTGTTAAATGTATCTTATTACTTTTTGATAAGTAGAGTACCTACCTATCGAGTATTTTCTTGTACTTGTACTGTACAAAGTGAAAGATTGAATATAGGATAGATATTTTTTGTGAGCCTATTTTAAATTACCTATATGAATATAATTGATTTTAATTAGTTTTCTATTAAATTCATTGTTGAACTGTTTTTTAGTTTTGTATTATTGATTTGAACCATCAGTGATTAAGTTTTGCTAAAAATAATAAAATACCCTCTTCTACCTAAGATAATTATGATACGAAATACAATTCACCGAGTTCTAGTAAGTCAGTGAAGKTGAATAGGTATTATTTATTATAAACAATTTTTAAAAACATAATCTTAGATATCTGTGGACATACCTTTATTTTTTAGTACTTAAGTTATTAATTTTAAAATATACAGAAGTGTTAAACATAATTAAAAATATTAAACGTTTTGAATTGAAAACAAAATAAGTTAAGTCAGTTTATATTGTTTGATGGTTACATTTATTGATTCAGAGTAAATGTTACTAAATGATTCAAGTATAATGCTTAGATATATATTTATTAAAAGAGTACCTAATTAAAACTATTTTATAAAATCTTTCTAAAATACTATAGTTAAAATCCAACTTGTTGAATATACTCGTATTATGATCAAGACCGATTTATTTGTGCATTTGTACAATACTTTTTTATTTAAATCAGGAACATTGAGAACTGTTAAATTATTGGTTAAGTTCAACAGAACTATTTCAGCTTCAACAATTATTTCGAAACTACTTTTAGAACCTGAACTTAATATGCCATTATATCTTAAATTTATAAATTTATCATAAGTTGATTWCAATAATTGTGATATGATAGTTTTTTCAAAAAAAWTTTTTATGTAAACTGCAATCAAGCTTAGTAATAATTTTCATTAAAGAAATGTAACATAAATTGTGCTAAACAAATAGGTAGAAAAGTGAAAAATCATTAACAATTTGGGGTGTGTTACGATTGTGTATGGACCTTTTTCATTATTACGATTGCGTACATTCTACCTACCAATACTTAGTGCAGCGTTGCCGTTGTTCAAAATCGTGAAAATTTGTAATATAACTTTTAGGAAACAATTGTTTATATTTGATACAGTTTCATAAACGTTACCGAGACTATTATTTCCAGACTATGTATTAAATAATTATATACATCCAAATTGTATATTTCCAACTAATATATGAGCCGAAGAACCTTCAATAAATAAAAGGTATCATATTTTTATAAACTATAAGAAAAATTTGGAAGTATTCTTGTACAATATAACTTTAATTATGTTCTGATACATAAAAATAAAGTGTCATAAAATATTTAAATTATTATTAATTCCATAATT